CTATAATATTCTGTAACTTCAGGATTCATGACTAAAATTGTGTTGTTTTTGCTGTTGTTGGTGGTGGTATGCCCTACAGTGGATTCTGACTCATAGCGACCCTGTATAGGGTTTCCAAGGCTGTAAATCTTTATGGGAGTAGAAAGCCTCATCTTTCTCCCACGGAACAGCTGGTAGTTTCGAACTGCTGACCTTGAAGTTAGTAAGCCGACTAGTAACCACTATGCTACCAGAGCTCCCTATTGTTGTTGTTAGGTACCATCAAGTTGTTTCTATGTACAGCAGAATGGAACATGGCCCAGTCCTTCATTATTATGTTTGAGCTCATTTTTCACCCAGTGTCAATCCATATCATGGATAGTCTTCTTATTTGATGAAATTGATCCACCATAGGTGACCCTGTTGGTATTTGAAATACCCATGATCTAGTTTGCAGCATCACAAAAGCCACCACAGTATGACAAACAGACAGATGAGTGGTGATAGCTAAAATTAAATATAGTAGTAATACTGGTAAGCTCTGGAGTCTGTTCTGACTCATAGTGACCCTGTGTAAGGTTTCCAAGGTTGTAGATCTTTAAAGGAGCAGTAAGCCTTATCTTTCTCCCTCAGATCAGCTAGTGGATATATATTTATTGTTGTTATTGAGTGCCACTAAATTGATTTCCTCTCATAGTGACCCTTCCCAGAGTTTTTGAGGCTTTAAAGAAAGCCTCATCTTTCTCCTGGATATATATTTTAAACGTATGTGAATAAAAATAAAATAGATTGATAAAGAGACACTGAGGCCCAAACTGACAGACTCCTCTGAATGCATAGGAAAATTCACAAAGATGACTGACTTTTGTAGAATGTACTCTGAAACAGATAAAAAGAAATCATATGGAGACACAGTGACCACAAGAGCGTTCAAATTTTCCTTTGTATGTTATATGTTAACCATAGACTTGCTCAAGGTTTGTCTTATGCAAATTATTTAACTTTAGGCAATTTCATGCATTTCCTGAGATAATTCTGAAACATTAGAATTCTGAGTAGTTGAGAAGCCCATATTATATAAAACCTTTGGACAATACTTAAATATTTGTACAGATGAATAGGGGACTGCCCAGACCACAAAACACACCTAGTAGTCTGATATCAGATGTTCAATGATTCAATCAGTTTTGCTACGTTGTTATTGTTAAGTACCGTGGAGTCGGTTCTGACTCATAGCGACCCTGGACAGGGTTTCTGAGGCTTTAAATCTTTACGGGAGCAGAAAGCCTCATCTTTCTCCTGCCGAATGGCTTGTAGTTTCGAACTGCCGACCTTAAGGTTCTCAGTTTGATTCATAACCATTATGCTACCAGAGCTCCTTAGACAATAGTTAATCTTCTACCTTAAGTTTCCTAACTTTGTACTCATTGTAAGTAGTCTAAAAGCCTTTCTGCTTTTCTGACCACAAAGATGTTTTGTATGCTTATAGATTAACTGCTTGAAGAAAACCTGTATGTTTATTTTGATCATATACAGATGATTTACTCCTCAGGATATTAACTACAAAGTCCACGCTGGTTTAAATCTACCAGCTGTTTCTCGAGAAAATGATAAGACTGTCTGCTCCTATAAGATTTACAATCCTGGAAACCCTTTTATAAGGTCACTGTGAGTCAGAATCAACTCAGTGGTAGTGGATTTGATTTTTCAAAAATTTATATAGATATGGAGTTCTGGTAGCATAGTGGTTATGAATCGGGCTGCCAACCTCAAGATCAGCAGTTTAAAACTATCAGCCATTCTGAGGCAGAATGATGAGGCTTTCTACTCCCATAAACATTTAAAGCTTTGGACACCTTATGAAGAGTTGTTATGAGTCTTAACTGACTATACAGCACCTACCTATAGATGATAGATAGCTAGCTAGATAGCTAGATAGCTAGCTAGATAGCTAGATAGCTAGATAGCTAGATAGCTAGATAGCTAGATAGCTAGATAGCTAGATAGCTAGCTAGCTAGCTAGCTAGCTAGATAGATAGATAGATAGATAGATAGATAGATAGATAGATAGATAGATAGATAGATAGACGGCTCTGACCACATACATATATGGTGGCTATGTAGTGCAGCCAGAGTGCTCCTTGGAGGCCAGGATGGCCAATGTTTGTCTCTCATACTTCAGACATATTTTCAGGAGGG